GGCCACATTATTCCTGATGCAGGCCAGGATGCCATTGGCCTTCTAGAACACCTGTCTTGTTGCCAGAGGAGCAGAAATAAGGATGGCTGAAAGGGCCCCACTGAGCATAGCCAAGCTGCTCAGGAGGCTCCGGGGTGCTGGATAGAGTGTCCCAGGACACGATAAGCCCTCTGCAGGCAGGGGATCTTGGTGGGAGGCTGCCCTGTCCCCTGGATCGCATCCCCTGTCCCAGCTTTCCCAAGGTATCTCTGCCTCAGGATCCCATTCCCGATCCCAGCTTTCCCCAGGTGTCTCCTGCCCCAAGATCCCATTCCCGATCCCAGCTTTCCCCAGGTGTCTCCTGCCCCAAGATCCCATTCCCGATCCCAGCTTTCCCCAGGTGTCTCCTGCCCCAGGATCCCATTCCCGATCCCAGCTTTCCCCGGGCGTCTCCTGTCCCCTGGCGGCAGAGGCGCCGCCGGCCCCGGCCCCGCCCCGCTTCCCCCAGTCAGCCGCGGCGCTGTGTTTAAATAAAACAGCGTCAGCGCAGGAGAAATCTTAGGTATGAAGGAGGGGTTTAAGCGAAGAAAGATTTCCAGTTTTGCATCTGATATTGCACAAATGTGATATTTTCCAAGACACATCTTCTCTTGATTTATCAGATGTGAATACAAAAGTCGGAAGAAACACAAGCATACTGTTCTGCAAGAATTAATAAATCTTTCCTGTTCTTGAATAAACCAAAGTTTATCTTAAAAGAAAACAAAGTTAAAAGCCAGAAAAACCCTCTGGCCCCTCAAGCATAAGTACGCACTGTACCTTGGGTTTCCTTGGAGGGATGGTTCAAGTGAGTAACAACTTCAGGAAAAAACGTTCACACACTGCACCAAGCTCCCATTCCTATAGGAATAGTTCCAGTGTTAGCCAGGCTATTGCTAGCATTTTGTAACATCACCCATGAAGACAGCCAGTTTGCAACCTTGGAAAAGGGTTTATGAACAAAATTGAAATCGATAAGGAGATCAAGGATGACACAGTTCTTTATTTGATGATTTCTTTTCTTACATTTTGGACATGCAAATGAGAGGATGAGGCAAAGGAGGAAAAGTTGCAGCAACAAGCCCATAGAACTTAGTTGTCTGGAGACCCTCATTATCCTGTGGGTATGATCTAAGTGAGCCTGAGGTCTTTAGAAAGCTTTGGGGTAAAATCCCTGCCACCTGGGTTTCTGCCATTTCCTTTACTTGATGCAGAATTTCACCTAGTACAACTTCAGGACAATAGAGAGATCTTCGCACAACCTAAGTGTAGAAAACTTGAGTTAGCAAGCACACGTGTACCTTTACTACTGTATGGCAACCATGAGCACTGCATGCACAGAAGGAGGACTCTTTACTACTACCCTTTTATTTCTAAGATTTTAGGTCATCTCAGGCTGATGGAGTCACACAAGTTGTCCCTTGCAGGAATGAGAAAGGGTTAGTCACACCTCTGCAGGTTGAACTGTTGCCCTAGTATTTCCACAAGGCTTTTGAAGTAGGCTCCATGGCACATCAATTGCAGAGAGCTTATTTCATCTATGCCAGCCCCAGAGGAGTCTGTAATATAAACTGAGTTCAGTTAAGGGCTACTAACAAGAGCTGGCCAGAAAAATTGCTTTCTTATAAATTCACATAATGTCAGCTTTTGAGCACACATGAGGAAATTGAAGTTAGATCTGGAAACACTGATGGAGTGGTTGTTGTGGGTTATACAAATTACATCCCATGCCTATCCTGTTTTATGGGTTGAGTGACTACCCTGTTTAGGTGATGTTTATTAGGTGGCTGTGATGCCTGAAGAGCAATTAAGTAGAATTGGGGCACTTGGACATGGAGGAAAGTGAGCATAAGACGCTGCTGAAGGGCAACACCCATGAATCACAAAGGAATTGGATTTACAACAGATATTCAGTCTGTGGACTTGTTTTTTCTGATTTTTTTTTTATCTGAGAGGTAAACAGGCTAGAAAAAAACAGCATGTAAAATGGATAAAGGAAAGCATCCAGTCCCTGAGGGGACTGTGCAGGGCAGAGGGATGCCCTTGGCACTGTGCTACCCACTGTGTCCCACTCCCCTCCCCTCCCTCCAAATGCACTCTTGGCAACCAGCCTGCAGATTCCCGCTGGTGTATTTCAAAGCCTGTGAGAGCTCAGCCATACCTGTCTGGGCTGGAGCTGATCCCTGACCTTCTCTCAGTGCTACTTGGTTTTCTCTGATAGCTAGGTGAATGATTGCCAGCACCAGTAAATGATTTACTACATGTAAAGCACTGCCTGCTAGAGAGGCATATCCCTTGTTACACTGCAGAGAAAAAATATTTCTATAGGGCCACAAAGTTTATGAGATTAATTTATTATTTGCATAATAAATAAATAAAGGTAAGGGTAGTGGTGGTGAAAGTAGCTTATGATGCCTTTTAACATGGCCAAAGATAAAACTGGGGAAAGTGTTCTTATTTTCATTAATACAGAACACATAGCTGTGTTCACAGCTGAAGATAATGTACATTTGTCAGTGCAGCTTGATCCAAAATGCTCAGCTACATTCAGGCTGGTTTGGTGTTTAGGAAAGCAAACCTCCTGTTTGTTTTAGTATGTATTAGGGCATCTTCCTCATAATCACAGCACTATTTGTTTTTCATGCGTGTATCATTGCAGCCCCACAGAGCTGACTCCTACCATCTGGTCTCTGGAAGATGTGGGTTATACAGCCCAGAGGTGAGAAAAGCTGCATATGTTGCTGGAGCTGCCTGTTTTGCTGCAGGAGGCACTGGTTTGTTAGTTCTCTAGATCTCTTTGCTAATAAATCCAAGTGTCATTGGGACTGAAGGCAGACAACTTCATTGACTGTGTTATAGGCCCTCACTCATACAGAATGGAATCTTTGGGGTATTATCTTTTAACTTCAGCTGGATTTCCTAGTTGTTGAAAAGCCAAGGATTTAAAAAGAAAAGAGAAGATGGCATTTCTTTCTTCATGGCATCACTGGGAGTAGGAGGATAGGCCATAGGCAACACAAGCCATGAATGCCAGAGGTGGATTTGGAGGCTGCCCTCAGAGCTTCTCATCACACCACTGGAGCGTCTGGGCACTGAGGCACTCCAGGTGTAGGACAGCCTTGGGAAACCAAGGGATGCAATTACTAAAAATTGGAGCCAGCTCTATACTCCTGTCTGAACTGGGGGAACTCCCTTACTTTTGACCTTATAATGAAGACACACTTTCCTGAGTGGTGCATTTCATCAATGGATGAAATTTACTCTCACTTCTCTTCCAACAGCACTCAACTTCCTGAAGAAAATACTTTCTCTATCTCCTTCTGAGGTGACTTGAGTACTGATAGTGAGACTGCTGGAAAATCACTGCTTGGTACTGCACAAACGAAGTTCTGCTGTAGTGACAAAAAGAGGGGATCATAGTGCCCAGTTCTGCCATTACTTCTCTGGCATGCAAAACCTGTGTGTGGATAGCATAGGCTTGCATGCAGTTCTGGCAAATTTTATTTATGACTCTACTTTATTATGAATTTGGAATGAAGTCTGAACAGTGGGAATGAACATCAAAAGGATGTTGAGAGAGCTGGTGAAACTCCACATGATTTGAGGTACACTGCCGGAGATTTTTGCAGCTTGCCTATAGTGATATCATCTTATTGTTCTGATTTTAGTATCTCAGTCCATTCCCTAATATTTGTCAGCAATCAGATGTCACTCCTCACAGGTCACCTCCCATGAATATCTCTTGAGGAATTGGCATTGGGCACAGTTTAATTATATGTGACGTAGGTGTGACAAAATCCCATTTTATACCATCCAACAAGAACTCACATGCTCTCGTTCTCCATGAAGCACATGTAATCCCCCTCACCCGCTATTATTTTCAGTCCTTCATATCTCAGAAATTTGTCTTCCTAATGTCTTCTTTGGTGAGGCCTGGAAGCTACTCCAGGACTCAATCAAATGTGTGTGACTTGTGTGCCCAAAACACACATTTCTCTAGTCCTGTCATGGGCACATGACTGCTCAGACAATGAGCTTGATTTGATGCTGGGCAATGGAGTGACATGATGGGATATGTAGATATCTTATTGTGGAGAAGTGCTTCTTCTATGACCAAAATTTTGGGTGTCCATTCATACCATGTGATGGGGAAACATTCATTTTGGTCATCTGGCATCTTGCAGTGCATTTCCACACACGGAATGGGAAAGGATCAGGGCGGATGGGCCCTGAGTACCACTGCTGGGCTTCATCCAGTGCCCAGAACAGCCTACTTGGAAGCCAGAGCACAAGTGCAGTGAAACAAAGTGCTCATTAGATGGCCCATTAGGAAACATGCATTTGTTTAATGCTGACGTGATGTGAAACAAATGATGGTTTCCTAGTTAATAATGTCATATTCCCGTCCTCAAATGACACCTTTCTTTAAGATCTCTTTTTTTTTTGTCAACAGCAAAGGCAACTTCTTACAAGCTTTTGGTACCTGCAGTGGCTGACACCATCAGTATTATCAGTGTTGGGCAATGCTGGTCGGTCTATCAGAGAGGAGGACGATGATCTCCAGCCCCTACGAGGAAGGCAGGGCTCGTGGAACCCCGAGAACCGCAAGGTTTTCCGTCGCGGTTGCGTTTTTTGCGGTGTCTGTGCCACGACGGCGGAGCGGATAGCGGGAGGAGAAGTGCGAGGGTGAGCCCGGGCGGGCCGAGCGAGGGTCCGGGTCCAGGGCCGGGGCCGGGGCCGGGGCCGGGCCGAGCGGAGCGGGCTGGGCCCCGCTCCCTCCTCGCTCTCCGCCGGCCCCACCGGTCGGGGCTGCCGGCGGCGGCAGGCTTAGTCAGAGGAATGTGGGTGGGACTCCCTCCTCCCCGGCGCCTTAAAACCCCGCTCGGACCGGCCCGCTCGCAGTCTCCCGTCCCGGCGGAGCGTCCCCGCTGCACCACACCCGCGACGCCCGGGTTCGCTGGGCGCGCCGCCGGCCGGGCACGATGGTGGTGTGCGGCCTCGCCTGCTGGAGGTGCAGGTGGCTCCTGCCCCTGCTGCTGGGCCTGGCCATCATCATGGGCATCATCGCCCTGGCGGGCCGGGGCTGGCTGGAGTCCGAGTCGGAGCCCTACGTGCAGCAAGCGTCGCTGTGGGAGAGCTGCACGCGGGGCGAGGAGGACCTCAACTGGAACTGCGAGTCCCTGATGGACTACGGTGAGTAAGGAGCCCGCCGAGGAACCGGGGCAGCGGGTGCCAGGCTATTGACCTCCCCTAACTCTGCTGTGGAGCAGCTGCTTCCTGGAATGGAGTATCCATGCTGTTTCGGGGCTTAAACCAGCTCCGAAACACAGGGCTAGACTACTCCAGAGCGATTTTTTTTTTTTTTTTTTTTTAATCAGTACAACACTGAGAAGCCGGGGTGTTGATATTTTGTTTTTTTCTGAAGTTATTTTGCAACCAAAGTAAGATAGCAGCTGGCTCCAAGTCTGTGTGTTTGCTTCCCCTGAACTCTCATCGGGCTGCAGTGCCAGAGCCTTACCTGGCTGCTCCCTCCCTGTGCCGCCAGATTCCCTGGTCAGGCGGCCAGTGTGGAAGCCTCCATGCAGGACCACGCCTGGACAGTAGTGAAATGGTATTTCCCCGACCCTTTGGGGGAAGAGAGCACCTTAATTTAACCCTCCTGGCCAAGGGAGTGCAGCTATTAAAATGCCTCCTGATCCGCAGCTTAAAATGGTCTGATGTGGGTTCGAAGGCAGGAAAAAAAAATGCTCTTTCCTTTGTACCTCTCTGTTGCACTGGGGCCTAAATCAGGGATAAGTGTGCCTCTGTTTTAACTTGTTTAGCTGCTTCTGTATCTGGCATCACCACTGTAACATTCTTACTTCACACTCTCAGTTTCTAGGTCTTTTGGGGGACTTTTTGTTTTATTGCTAGGACACGTGGGTCTGATTACATCTGCTTTTCCCTCAAACAAAATATTTCTGGACAAATAAGCAGACCCGCCTTAAGATCTTGGATGAGGGTTCTTTAGGGACTGGGGGGCTGGAAGGGTGTGTTTCAGCTGGGAGAGCTGGGACTATTTCCCTGCACAGATCCCTTGCTGCCTGAGCACGGCAGAATCACTTCCAGAAGCTTTTCATTGCAGCACTCATGCACAAGCTAAATCCTGAGTATACTGTAAGAGAAGTGGCTTTGTTTCTCAGCTGGGTGATGACTTCGGACCTTACTGCAGGCAGAAGAAATCTGGCTAGTGAGATGAAAATATCCATCTCCCCCATCAGACAGAGAAGAAAAGCTAGTGCAGTTGCTGAAATTTGCATTGCACAGGGGAAAAGTGCTAATACAGTACAGCCACTAGAATTTGTTTTCTCCTGTAGTGACACGGCTTCACACGTCCCTGAGTACTGATGGGTGTGTGCTTTGCGTCAGCCCTCAGCACTGTGGGACAAAAGCAGTTTTCTGCATTTTTTTCCTAGTTAACAGCCTGACACAGAAGAATAGCATCCTTGACTTTACTTGTTTAAGTCTTGGCTTATTTAAACCAAAACTTATTTAAATCCTTGGCTTATTTATATGAATTTGCCTGTTCTCAAATTTTCATAACATCAATGCCACTGTCTACTCAAATAGTATTTGCATCTAGAGACAGGATGTAACACATGAATTCAGGTTTGATTTGTTTTGTTTTCTTTTCTTCTATGCTAATGCAATTACTGTCAAAATAGGTGAGGGCATTTACAAAGGAAAAAATGCCTAGCAGGCATTTATAGCACTGGAGCAGGAAAATAAAGGTTAACTAATTGAGATGCATAACTTGTGTTTTGCATACAATAATTGCTGTGGACTAACCATCCTGCACCTCTCCTGATGAAATGAAGACTTCAGAGTGGATCTCCATTAACAGAATGTGCCATTAGACAAATTCTTAATTGAGCTGTGGCATGTGTATGAGGAAGAGGTAGAAGAAAAAGCAGGCGAGTCACTTATTTTAAATGAGGGGAAAGGGGCAGGAAAAGACAAACAAAGATTCGCAAATAGGAGTGTTTCCTAAACTGCATAGCTCCTTAATGCACATTTGCAAATACCACATGAGAGGGAAAAAGTGAAAGGGAAAAAGAAGAGTAGGATGTCATGTGGCAGGGAGACAGGGAAGGGATATTGTTTAGAGTTCTGTGCTGGTTTGTGTCTGGGAAGTGCCCTGGCTGGCAGCGTCTATGTATTATCAAAATGTTGCAACGCAGAAGTGCTGCAGTGCACTAGAATATGACTCAAGATGACTAGGTCTAGACCATTGCAGGATTTAACTGTTGACTGTGTGTTTAAAACATATCAGCAAGCCATCAGCTATGACAAAGATTATTTGCACTGTGTAACTTGGAAAGATGATTGTCTTTATAGTGATGAGACTGTAAGTTTAGGAGCAATATTTATGGGTGGCTGCGCCCTCCTGGTTCTGAATGACTGGTCCCAGTGACCTTGCTTTGAATTAACACTGTAAAAGATGGGTGTGTACATGTGCATTAGGTTAACTCCTTCTTAACACTAAGAGCCAATTGGTATTCATTTGGTATGTACCAGCCAACAAAGAAAAAGGGAAGCATTTTTCTGGATCCTTAGTAAGTGCCAGAAAAAAAAAAAATAGGAGCCCAGCCTTTGTGAATCATGTTTAGCTGGAGCTGTGCCACTGTACCTATGTCCCTAGAGGCATGGACTTTGATACCACAGATTATTGGTGAAACTGAGTGCATATGAAGACTTCACTGAGGGGCCAGGTAAATAAAGGAGGAATGCTAGGTGTGTACTTACCTTTTCAATACACCTCTTTTCAGACACACTTTTGTCTGATTTACAAACACCAGGATGCATTCAAGACAAACTAACATCATGTGTAGTGTCAGGCAAGTGCAGGCACTTAGGAAATGCTGATGTGAAAGGTGTAGCAGTTGGCGTCCCTGCCTACACCCAGAAAACACTTACTGCAACTTCCTGGTAAGAGATCCCAGGGAAATGTGAGGCTGGTGTCTCTGCCAGTGCACTTTGCTGGCTCCTGAGCAGGCACACTTCTGCTGCTAACGATCCAGAGACTAAAAGCTGGAAATGTGTAGGATTGTGCCTCTCATCAGCTCTCAGCTGAAGCCAGGTTTATACTAGAAGGCTTGCATTTAATATTTTGGTAGTTTAGTAATTGCTTTTCTTGCACTCCTAAAGCCAAAACAGATTGTGATTCCCAGTATTAATTTCCAACCTGCCCTCCCAGCAAACCTTGGATTCTGGGGTCCTCTGTGCTCATGGTGGATATGCACATAGCTTCCTCTCACCAGTCATGCTACCATGGAAGTTCACACATTACCTGAGCAAGAAAGTAGTGCTGACACTGCTCTTTTGCTTGCAGTTCACTACTCCTTTATGATGTCAAAAAAGTCCAATATTTTTGGACATTCTGTGTAATGGGCTCTTGAGGCCAAGCAAGGATTGCTACTGCCATTTACATACACAAGAATATTACAGCTACATTGCAAAAACATGCCCAGTCTCTGCAGGTTGTGATAAAAGCTTCCACTTACTCACGAGCTAACAAACTAGCTTCGGCTTCTGGAAGTGAATGAACAAATAAGACAGTCTTGTTAGTTCAAATCCTGTAGCAGTTCATCTTCCTGCTAGACTATTTTCACAGCCCTTTTATTGATTTCTAAAGAGAAATCTAGATTTAAATATCTTAGCCTGTAGAGATTCCACCTCCTCCCTGGTGACGCTGAGGCATGGCCAGATGAAGTCAGGAAACACACTTAATGCTAAGGCACTGTTGCTTGCTTTCTTTTAATTTCATCATATTACTGGTGCTCATCATTAACATTTAGTAATCATGACCCCTCCTAGTTATTTGCATGATAACATTTGCAGCTGAGTTCCTTCCCATAGTAATCATTAATGTAATGTAATGCTATGTAATAAAACTCTTAAGCCTTCGTAATAATTACAGACCTTCTGAACAGTTGTTTTTTAAATGTTCTTTCAACACCACCTAATAGATAAATACTGTTCTGCTGATTAGATGCAAAGAACTTGACTATTCTTTGAGGCCAAGCTGACCTGGAAACACTAATACCCCCAACTATTTCTCTGCTTTTCTGCTCTCCAATTCTTCTGCCTTTCTATTTATGTAGTTCTAAATCTCTGTGGTGTTCTTGGTTGATTTCATAAACATACATCATATTTATGTTTATTTTGCACAAGAAATACCCTCTCTGACAAATGAATGGGTCTGTGAATTTTCTATGTTTATGGAAAAGCTTAAATTCCAGCTAAATATCTTATGATTACAAGGTACTTTTGAGCATAAACCATATAGAAAATGGGGCTAATCTGTCATTCTCTGACTGTGAGCAGGTCCCTCCAGCTCTTATGGCAGCAAACAGTGAGAGGGTAAACCTGCACCTCTCCCCTCCTGGCAGCTGAGACTTGTAGGGGAAGGATCTTTCAGAAAGACAGGAGAGCTGGGTGCCTGTGGGGACTCTGTCAGTTCTCAGAAGCCTTTGGGAGGAAAAGGAGCTGGGAAAGCCTGACTTGATTGGTGTGGGGATGAGGGAGATCCTTCATGGAGAAGCAGCAATTTCAGTTTTGGCTCTGCAGCAGCCCCTCTAGTGAAAACTCTCCCTGTTGGTGGGGGTGGCAACAGATCATGTGGATAAGGAAAATCCCAGGGCTGCACCCTATGCTTGGGAAAGGTGCACCCTCCCACCCCAGTCTCTCCCATCAGTCACTTGTTAAGAGACTTATATATATACACAATGTAAGAGAAATCTCAAAAATTAAGTGTAAGTCCTGTGATTCCCGCAGGGGATCAAGTGTTTGGCTGATAGTTCAGTGGCTGACTACACTCATCCAGCCAAGAGCACACCCATCTAGTGCTGTGGGCAGCACCTATGACTCAATCTTATCAAGTCTTGTCAGCATCAACCTGCTGCAAAGTGATGTTGGAAAAGATAATCCAGCTGAAGAAAGAGCAGAAGGTCCTGGTCACCATTACTGAGCTCTGTCACACATGAGCACAAAACTCAGAGTTTCATGATGGTGCTACCTACTGCTGCCTTGTTTCTGAAGACCTGAAGCAAAGCTGAGCTTGATATTAATCTTCCTGACAAGATATCTCCTGCAGCTATATGTGTTGTCATTTTCTTATTGCCAGAGACAAGAAAATAAATCACTGTGAGCAGAGCCTGGGCTGACCTGTATCCAAAAGCTTATTATGCTTGTAAAGACAGTACAGATGATATGAAAATGGCAGAGAGAGCACTGGGGGCATTCTGCCTTGTACTCCTCCAGCTGTGTTTGTGTTGTTCTAAACCTCAAGGTGTCTAACATGCAGGTGTATTTGAGTTTACAACTTAAATTTTATCAAACAGATGCCAGATTTGTCCTCCTACATCTTGTCAGCATAAATAATGCATCTGAAAGGGAAAATGCTATGGTAACTTGGTGTTCCTTCTTGTGCTTTTTTTTCCTTAATAGGGCAAATATTGATAAAACCTTGTCTAAATCATCTAGTCTGAATGGGTTTTCCTGAGCTGGCTGTGTGTAATGGTTACATATCCCTTTATATTATTTATCACTAAAGAAATCCTATTGTGGAGACAATGTTCAATACCTGTGTTAGATATGGCAGAGAATATTTTGTGTGAAAAGATTTTATCAAACCACTGACGTAGCTCTCCAGACACTCATCAGTCTCCTCCCCACTTCTTCCCCTCAGCATTCCCTCAGGGAAGTGGTATGAGACATGCACAACTAGTTGAAGAAGAAGAAATTTGAGAAGTTTTTACTGTCTTGAGTAGCTCCAGGAAGGGAAAGGGGAAAGAAAGACTTTTCCTTTTCTTTTCTGTGTCAGTTTTTTTTTTTGTTTGTTTGTTTTTTGTTTGGTTTTTTTTTTGTTTGTTTTTTTTTTTTTTTTGTTTTTTTTGTTTGTTTGTTTTTTTTGTTTTTTTTTTTTGTTTTGTTTTTTTTTTGTCTTCAGGTAGCAGTGGTGCTAGTTGGAAGTTTTGGCAGAGATTCGGTTGATGTATTTTACTGCTGTATTTTACTTTTGCTGTTGGATTAGAAATAAAGAAACCAGTTCAAACAGATCTAATTAAAATAGCTGTAAAACAATGCTTTGCTTTCAGACAGAAAATTGCAGAGGAAGAGTGGAGAGTACATTGAAAGCAGAACATCTCCAAAGTCACTTCAACTGTGATGGAATGGACAGCTATGATGAAAGGGATTTTTTTTTTTCATGTTCTGACCTAGATCTCACTGGCCTCTTTATTCCTACATTAGAGGGAGCTCAGGATCCGGCCCTACCTCTGTCTGAGTGTGTGAAAGTAGAAACCCACAATATGTAGATGTGGGAATTGAATTGTGATGACAGCTGACTGGAAAACAAAGCACTAGCCAGTATGGTTTAGCCCTTGTGGGCAGGTATCCTGCCTCCAGGGCAGGAACACTTTTGCTTGTAGTTGTTTGCTCTGGGCTCACCTAAATTGCTTGGTTTCTGAAGAGGACAAGTGTGTGAGGGCCTTTTCACAGGGCCGTGTTACTGCCAAAGCAGAATCGCTGCCTGTTTATCTAGGAGGTTTTCCTGCCACTGTTGCCTTGGCCCTGCCTGTGCCGGGTGAGTTCTGGATGCTGGTGCTGTTCCCTTGGAATACAGCCCTTGCTTCATGCCTCAGCCTCTCCAGCATGCAGTAGCTTGATACTAAGTAGCTTGATACTAAGTAGCTTGATACACCCTGTTCCAGCAAATGTCAAAGTAATGATTCAAAGAGGATTCATCAACTTTTACCTCAGATTTTGCTGTTTCTCCTCCACCTGCTACATTTTAGCTGTGAATAGATACTTATTTTCAAGAACATTCTTTTGTCATCTTTTCAGCTATTGCAGGTTTATTTCTTTTTGGTCATGCTTATTTTGCTTCCCATGCCCTATTCTTGTCATAAACAAACAGAAGTGTTACGCAGACAGCACTATTATTTCCCAGCAGTTATCTCCCGTGGCTTTCACACTTCCTTGTGCATGGAAGTGCTTTTGTAAACTTGAATATCGAACAGGAGCTGTAGTGATAAAGGACATTGTCAGCAGTTGTGTGCCCTATCTGCTCAGGTATCTGTGGGTGTCTTACAGATACAGAGTTTGAAGGTATTATCTCTCTTGTATGCTGTACTCTATCCCCCTTTTCAGCAAGACAAGTTATCAGGCAGGGAGTCCTGTGCTGCTCCAGCAGTGATGGTGCCCCCTGCTCTGCAGCTGTGTGCTTTGCAGGCATTCAGCATTGCTTTGACATAAGGACATGCTTTTTACATGAGTTTCAATAAAAAAATGAATAAAGAAAACCAAAGAGCTGCAATGACCTACAGGAGAGTACTGCTGTGTGTAATACCTTCCTTGTTTTCTCTTCAAGGCTGGGGGAGAGCAGCAGCTGCCACATACCTCGTTGGCTTTGTGATCCTGGTCATCTGTTTCGCCCTTGCAGTCATCGCGTTCTCGATCGAGATCCTCCGCTTCAACTTTGTGCGAGGAATTGGAGGCCTGCTCTTTGTTGTTGGTAAGGCTGGGCACAAAGACAAGGTTATTTTCGATGTGAAACAGGCATCAGCAGAAAAACATGCTAGATGGAGCCTCCCTTATGAAATTAGCTGTCTTTGTCTGGTTTATGACTCATTTTCGTGGGAAACAAGGGAAGGCTGAGTTGCGCTCTGAAAGCATAATGGGTAGGGAAGCTCCAGTGGCCTTTGTCAGTTCTCACACTTTCCCAAAAGCAATTCATGGGGATGCCCAACACCTTTAACCCTTCACGTGACATGCTAAGACTTAAGAGCTGTGGGCACTTCCCACCTTTCTGATGGGAGGAGGAGGAACAGGGCTCTGGGACGTAACTGGCTGGGCAGGGTTGCCGGTGCTGGCTGTGGGACAGGGCTGGTCACAGCATGCAGGTATGAGCCTTAGCAACCTGGCAATGGCAGCTGAGGTGCTGCAGCAGCCACATGGGCGTGGGGATCTGCCTGGGACAGAAGTCACATACCTCTGTAACAATGCAGATCTGATTGCAGGTCTGAAGCTAATCCTTACATATCTTAAGTATGCAGTTATCTCCAGGTACCTTTTCTTAATGGGAACCATAATATGTTCACTCTAACTTACTCCTGGTTTTCTTTCTTTTCTCTCTCTAGCTGCGTTCCAGATCATTGGCTTGGTCATTTACCCAGTGAAATTCACAGAAGACATTCCACTGACAGGAGATAACATGTTCAGCTGGGCCTATGGTTTTGGCTGGGCTAGTACTGTTGTTGTAATAGGTTGTGCTTTCTTCTTCTGCTGCCTCCCCAACTGGGAAGATGAAGTCCTGGGAAACATCAAGCCTACCTATTACTACTCCTCCCCAGAGAGAGCACCATACTTAAATTGAAAGATTAAGTCTAAGTACAGTCAACTCTCAAAACAGAGGAGTGCCTCTGATGTACATTTGATGTGATTGTAGGAGACTAAAAAACTCACCTTATTTTGCCAGTGTATTTCTTACTGTGGCTGGCAATAAATTAGGAAAAACATTGGCATCTTAATCCAAATAGCTTTTACCCAAAGTATTATTTACATATTTTCATGTCAATTCAGTTTGGGTGGTTTACTTGCTCCTTCCCCTCCCAATTAATTGAGTCATCCTTATTTTATTCAAATATTTTCTTATGAATATAGATGATAGTGTTTTAAGTGTAGAAAGGAAAAGGATAGATTTTAAGCAACCTATTAGTGTGTCCTGTGAGATAGGTTGTTTTTTTTCACCTCTGACAAAATTGCTTTAAATGGAGCTAGGAAAAAACACAGCCTTCCAATGAATGCTTTTTGTTCTGTTAAAGTCAGTCCCAAGAAAGAAACTTCTGTGATACTATCACAGTCATCTGCTGCCTAAAAATCTTTTCTCATTCCTGTTACTGGACTGTTGTTGACTACTAGCTATTTGAATTAAGGGGAAAATAAAATTAAAATTTATTTTCCACCAATTGGTGCTGTTGGACAAGGTCTCATCCAAAGCATGGAGCTGGTGTGTATAACATAAGAGTGGCTAATGTAATATTGGTGGGTTTGTGGCCACAGCAGGACTTGTGATGGAATCACATATGTGTGTTGTAATGGATTCAAATGCTAAAGTACATACATTTTTACATGCTATATGAGAGATGCTGATTTCGAAAATATCTTTGAGCAGAAACATAAACTATTCTACTAGTCTACCTTTGTAAAGTTGCAGTGTTTTAATTATCAGTGTGCTTTGGAGGGAAATTTTAGCATAAGGTGTTTAAAAACCTCCAAAAGCTTCTAACACTGTTGGTACCTCAGAGTTTAGCAAACTTGGGCTGCTTTGTGAGTGAGTAGGGGTAACAGCTAGAAATAGAAAGGCAGTTCTGTGAGCAATTTACACATGTAAACTTCATACAGACATCAGTGTTGGAGTAATCTGGCTGCCTCCTCGTTTGTGTTTCTGCAGCCAGCAGTTCCAAATAAATATTCTAGTGAGGTGTAGTCATGGACCTGCAGCATCTTACAGCAGATTTAATTGTGGTCTGTAATCTTTGTCAGGGCTTTGTTCAGCTGGGGAGGAAGGAAGAAGTTCATTTTTCGAACTCCCAGCTATGAGGGAAGTAGCTTTAGCAAAGACAGACTGAGGAGGATATAGGTGGGTTGGAAAGCAAATGCTGCATGTTTCTCTGTGTTATTTCTTACTCTCATGAACCTGGTACTTAGGAGAGGGTAAGTGGTGGGTATGTGTATTCATGCACATGTACAAAATAGAACTTAGAAAGCATTACCCAACAGACTGTAAAGCTAAAGTAATTTACAACTGATCTTTAGCAATGCCCTGTATTTCTTGTATTATATATTGTATAGCTTTCCATGTTGTAACATCTTTTTCAATTTGATAATGCAATATATTGCACGTGATCCTGTTTTAGAGAGGCCAGGTGATTCCTGAAGGTCCCTTCTAGGCCTGTATTTTATAACTTTACAGAGCATAAATGTCTGCAGATTTCAGAATTGTGTTATGAGCTCAGTTGTGGCATATACAATCAATTGTATTTATGATTCTTGCCAAATAAGAGAGTTCAGTGGCAAACATGTCCTTTTAAATTTTTTTTCCCTTTTCTGTACAGTACTGGCTGGTGGGGAATACTGTGTAGACTTTATCATGAGAAATGATAGTACCTACTTCTAGTGAATTCAAAAGACAGCAGAGAATCTCAAGTGAGGAAAACCCTTGCCCAACTAAAGCTGAAAAAGAGAAGAAAGTGTAAGAAAATGGACACCTTTCCTAATGACAGGGAAGATGGAATGGTAATATGGTAATCAGGATTAGCATAATTTAAGTCTTTTGTATGCTTTTTTTATAAGCATTGGCATAACTTGTCAGAAGAGGACTAATGTAAAATAAACTTGGCTCTGAATGTACTGGGAGGGGTAGAAGCATAACCAGCATGTTACACAACTTCAGTGTTCCAGAGAAAGCTATTGCAAAAAGTTATTAATGACTTTCAAGTGATATTAATGTATGTGACACTCGTTTCAAATGTGGTGGCTTAATTAAAAATGTTTTAGCTGACGGTTGTAGAAACTTGGTGATGTTTGTGGTTCCTGGATTAATTTCATAAAATCAAACAAATAAGCCATTCTTTTCTTCTCTTAACTTGAATATCCAGTGTCAGGTTAATAAAATGAAGTTAAAGACCTCATGTCCAGGAGGCAGCAACTTCATTTTGCAGTCAAATAAGCTTCAGAATACACTGCAAAACATGTCTGTGCGCTTTCATTGAAGTGCCAGGTATAGAATGTTCTTTCCTAAGCCAAAACCTCTTAAGTGCATCACAGAGAAGGGGGAACTCTAAACATTTTAAATACACAACAGTCTACAGGAGGTCTCGTGTGTGGGAAGCTTGTTCTTTATCAAAAATGTTCCAAGTGTCTTTCCTACAATGATAAAGAAATTTAAATAGTGAAATAAAGATGGTGTACTGGCCTGCTATTTTCAGTGGAAGGCTGCACTTCTCCCATGATTAGAAACCTTCCCACTTCTAACCTCAGTTTATGCATGGCCCATATTATAACCCTGTCCTAGTGACGTTTTTTAAAGAGAGCAAATCAGTCAGTCACTGCTGTCTTACACCAGCCTGTGGCTTCTGATTTCTGGAAAAACAGGTTAATCATTCTCCTTTTTTTATTTTTTTTTAATCGATCCTCTTCCCTTTTTTTTTAAATCTATCCTCTTCCCTAACTGTCTTAATTTTAAAATTCATTTACTACCCTGGATTCTGGTGCCTTCCATGTGTTTCGTTTTGGGTTTTGGTTCCACATCTCCCCATTTTTAATTACTTCTAATTTTAAATAAACAAATAGGAAAAATATTTTGGTTTCTTTTAGATTTTCCTAAATGCTCTCAAGATAATTGCAAGGTTTCTATAATGCCTTTCTTTCAATAGGAAGAAAATTTGCACTCCTGTTTACCTACCAGTCTGTATTAAGCTGCAACCTAAATCTTTGCTCACTAAAATCACCTGAATATCTCCAGTGAGCTTCGGGCTGCAGGGTTGCTTCCTTCTAATCCAGTTTGTGAGAAGAGAGAGCAGTTCAGGGGAATCTGAGCACACTTGACCCTTGTCTTAGGAGCAGTTATGAGCAATCAAAAATGTGCATGACTGAGTGCTAGGGAAGACTAATTGACCTGAATGGGATGATTAATGCTTAAATCTCATGGATATGGGAAACAGCTGCCACACCCCGCTGGGATTTTGTATTTTTAGCTGATGTAACAAGTGACTAATTTTTTAGACAATTCATTGACAAGACAGAATTCTAAAAGATTATTCACCTGACCTTTACATCCTGCACACAAAGGCTTTTGGATGTAGAATGCATACATAAATCAAGGGAGTGTAGTAACAGATCATTTGGGAGCAGGGAGGATTGTTATGGTGATAAGCACTCCAGAAACAAAAACAACCACGTATTAAGAGAAAATGTTGCGCACACACACACAAACAAAGAGAGTTGCTGAGGTCATTGAGCACTTACAAACTAATGATGAACCAAGCACACATATCTATGGAAACCAAAATGCTCCAGGAGATGCACAACATTTGAGAGCTGAAGTACTGGTCCCACAGCTCAGAGCAGTGGGGGTTCCTGGCAATATGGAACAGCACCCTGAAAAAAAAAGGTTAATCTGTGCCAGTAGGCAAAATTGCACATGTTTTTAAATGGACTTGGAAGATGATACTCACAACCAGAATAAAGTTTAATCAAATCTGGAGGATGCATTTGTCAAAAATAGGGATGTTGAGTTTCAAAATTTGATTCCTGTAACAGGCATCAGTACAGAAGTAGTGAAATCCATGTGCAGTGGGTTCACAGAACCTGGTAAATGCCAGTGATACTGCACAGGTGCAGCAGTTTATATGCATAGATCCCATGTCCTGCACGTGTGCCGTGTATTTATGAGATAATTCCAATGACTCCATGATGCACATCTGAAGTGGTACAGTAGGCTGCCTTTTGTCTGGGATTCCCTGGTGTCCTAAGGTGTGGGCAAAGCTGCACCACCTATGAAGCTTGACATCTAGAAATTCCAGGCAAAAATACAATGTCCTCAAATTTGGCCTATACAAATTACATTTAAATTACTTGAGAATTGTTAGAATAATCCAAAGGATTTTTTCATTGGGATTTTTGAATGCATAAATTTTATAAGGCTGTATTTATAATAAAGACTGTAGAAGAACACACAGAAATGCCTGGAGCTTTATAATATAAATATTACGACTATAAACAAGATAAATAATAATTTGTGACAAGAACTATGCTTTACATAATATAATTAATACATAGAAATTAATTCTATTTCTCATGGGTCCATCTTTGCAGGATTGAATAACGTGAGGAGAGCTGGTATGGCTACTGCTTTTTGTTTATTCATGGGAATGGGGACAATATATGATATTTTTCACAGAGTTTTTGTGAATATAGAATATTTTATAAGCATCAAAGTTTGCTAAAACTCAAGGTGATACCTTGGAAATCAGTGTTCACTGAGTTTGAGAGGGCCCAGAAAGGTCTGGAGTGAGCATTCAGATGAAACTGAACATAAAAGCCAGGCAAGTCCTGTCCTACAGTGTGCTGCTCTGGGAAATGATCATGGATTGAAGTAGGCTGGTTTGATGGTCACAGTCCTGAATACACATGGAGGCAGGAGCAGGAGCTGACCTGTGGCCATTACAGTCCCTTTTCAGGAAATAGCCTATTTTTAAGCTCTCTTTGGAGAGGATTTAAGCAATCCCTTACAACAGGAAATAAGGAGAAATTATAATGAAAAAAATAATTTAGGTGAATTTTTATGCATGAAATAGAAAGACAAAACAACTCACAAAACTTCTGACTTGAAATAGAAAGACAAAACAACTCACAAAACAAAATTTGGGAAAAACATAATTGGCATTTGGTAATAAGACAGTAAGTTGAAAATGTTGCTAGGATACTTCTGTTTTAATTTTAGCCCTCTTGTCAAATCAATTTCACATCAAACATTTAAAACTGAAGACATCATTTCCATGTAACACATTAGTTTCAGCAAAATCCTTCTTTTGGCTGAAGAATCCCAAAGTGAAAATTTCTGGCTGAAACCCCTTAAGACATGCTTAGCATGCATGTCCTATCTGTAAATCTCAGAGTGTTTAAACAAGTAGCTATTCCCAGCTGACCCATAAGACAGAGCAGATAAAAGCCATTTCTTTGACAGAGAACTGTAAGTAGCAAGGCTGTGGCACCAGGGAATTCTCTAAGTGAAGCTGATTTTATTCCTCTCCTAAGGCAAAGTAAAGCTTTATGCTTTATAAGGAGTTACTGTTATGATCCACTACAACAGGACGAGAATTTAGTTAGCTTACCTATGCCACAGAGAAGTTCTGGAGCCCAAAGAAAGTACCTTTAGTAAAATTATCCCATATGTAGAACAAGACTATGCTGTACCACTCTAACTGTTTACCCATGGGTTCATAAAATTGCTGTACACAACGTGCTATGATTCTTTCATTCTATGATTCTATGTACTCACCAGAGAGCTTGTGCTCCTGACAGCCACTCAGGGAAAATACAGACACTCACAATGGTTACAAGTGTCCAGAGGCCATCTCAGCTCCTCACTGATTAGCTGGTTTACAGGACACCCTTGATTTCAGCCTTTTGCCTGGAGAAGGGGGAGTTGACTGAACTGATTAAACTTCTACAGAGCCTCTGTAGGAAATTCCTGGGGATTAAACCTTGTTCCATCATATAACTTATCATGTCCTTAAGCAAAAACTAGCTGACAATTAAATCCATGCTCAGGCACACAAAGTCTTTGTACTTTCCTAATCTTGTGTTTTCCTTATTTCTGTTTTCCCAATACAGTCTTGAATTGCTCACATAAAATAAAGTCCTGGATGCCGCCCCATGTTTGCATCTCAGGTGTTAACACTTACTGGTTTGCACATGTAACCTTGCTAAGGAGAGGAAGAAAGCCCTTTTAAGCCTAAGCCTTTGTCCTGTCCAGGCAAGTCTGCTTTACTGACAAGAGCCACACAGCGCTGCATGTGGGGCAGGCTTCAGAGGCCCTGCAGCAAGCTGGTCTTGGATGACTCTTGCTAAAAATCCTAACAAAACCCTGTGGGAATTTTCCTCTGAGCTCAGCAGTCAGTGAAGAGAGGAAGTATCCAACATCTGCAGAGCTTTGCTGTGCTGTGGGTGACAGACAGAGGAAAGCTTTCCCGAGTGCACAGCAGCAGGACTGAGCACCCACCATTCCCCAGGTCATCATAAGCATCATGGAGCAGTCACAGTGCCTGGCCACCTCAGGATGAAATATTAGTCACACAGAGAACACTATTGCCTTACTGCCCAGGGAGTGACCACAAGGTACAATTTGGCTGACTGAGTTGCACCACTGTTTGGGCTGTGGCTGTAACAATAACTGCAGTGCAGCCCTTTCCAAAGGGAAACAGTAGGCTGGCATTACCGGCAAAAGAGAAGGACCTATGGTTGTAAATATTTTAATAAAGATAGTAATAATAGTTATGAAATTTATGCTCAGAGTGACTTGTTAGATGTAAGATAGCAAACAAGAGAACAGACCATAAAACAATTTTAGCAAAGCTTTTTAAATTCAAACTCTGGGGACTTCTTGTTTATAAGCAGTGTGACTATAAGAGAATGAAAATGTGCTTGCTGCAGAAGTCATGATCATGCACCACAGCCGGTCAGTTTATGCCAATCCAGTAATTTATACAGCTTAGCTGACCAGTCAGAGACTAAAGGTGAACAAAAGTACTCTGCCAATGATTTTTTGCCTTCTTCCACTTTTCTTCCATGAAAACTGTTTGTGTCTTGGCCAAAAAAGGCATATTTTTATTTCTAACTCTAATGCTGTAGAATTGTTTGCTTTATCAATATCCTCCTGTTTACTTGGTTACCTCAAGTAATAACGAAGATTCATTAGCAATATTTTTAGGTGCAGAAAGTGCACTACAATCTAACAGTTTTAACATTGATAATATATATCTTCATTTTCTATAGATGATGTTGGTGTTAACCAGGAGGTTCTATCCACAGATAATGGAGAAGGAGAACAAGCATTTGCTTTCGTGTAAACACCCAGCTTATACATTGTAAAAGATGAAGCATGGTGAAGATTAGTTATCACTTCACTTAAAGTTTCCAATAATTTTTCCCTGTTTGCCATAGAAGTATCAGAATTATGTGAGATAAATACAAAATTTTGTTATCTTTGGATGTATGTCCCTCTCTACTGTTCAAGATATCTCAAATTATCCTTTTATTGAACGTAATTCTGAGTTGCTTAAGGATGACAAAGGTGGGCAAGACACAGAAATATTTGTGGTGACTGAACACTACTCACCTTTCTTTCACAACATGATAATGTTCAAGGTGGTATCACCTTGCAAATGCTAACATTTGTGGCAGCATGCATTCATCCACATGTGAGCTGTAATAGAAACTGATGACAAATCCTTCAGTAAGTGCCTACCTGAAACATTGCTGAGCATTCTAAATTCAGAGAGGACCATTTTAGTCCTCAACAGACATTGGCTCTCAAATGCATGACAGCACCTGTCTTCATACTAGATTTCAGGTACAAAATTGCCTTAATTTGATTTGCCTATATCCTTATAAAGCCGTAATTTTGTGAAAGGTTGAAACTTGGCAAGAGACTAGATACAGGCAGCTGAGTGAAGGCTTGTCTACACTCTACTGTCACATTCACAAGTATTTCTGAAGCCATCTTTTAAAAACCATTTAATATCCAAACCTGTGTTCTCTCAAACTTTTGGATTCTGTTGTGTCCTCTTCTACCTCAGCTGCGGCAACAGAAAGAATGCATATACAGACTTGGACAACCTGTAGTAACAGCATAGCATACTAAGGTTGGTCTTCAAATGATACTGGATTTAATGTAAATATTTAAATAATGCATTTAAAAATTGTATATTGCAGTGTTATGGAGCAGGTAAGTGATATTTTAAACATTAGGTAAATGATAACTGAATTTGTGGATAGCACAAATGTGGGCTACAATTGAAGATACATTCTATTCAAAGGGAATGGTTGTTCCCGAAAGTTTATTTTACAAAAAAAAAAAAAAAAAAAAAAAAAAAAAAAAAAAAAAAAAAAGCGAGATTTTCCCTTATTTCCAATTCAAAACAGCAGCTGAGGTGTCTTCATAGTTGGCTGAAGCTTTCAGCAACACTCAAATTCAATGGTCAAAACAGTAAAAATATCTCCTGCTCTCACAGAGGCCTGTTGAATACCCCTGATGGATCTCTCACAGCCACAGGGATATTGGACTGTCTGTGCCACAGGAAAGCTGCTGGCAGGATGCTTCAGCTGGCCAGAATGAGAGATAAGGCAGCCACACCACTGCTAATCTACCAGCAGGCAAATAAGGTACCTGATGAGAGATAAGGCATGGTGTCAAATTTACTTCTTCAAATCTAATTCTTCATGGAGTTAGCACTTCACTGTGCTGCAGCTCATTGATGTGGATGTTCCAATTTGGTTCACGCTCAATACCTCTTCAGGCACAGTGTATCAGTGCAATGTAAATTATTAATTTCCTTTATTTAGGCCATTATTGATTCATGAGTATTAATTCAGAAAAGTGCTGTGCAGTTCACAAACAGTTCATAGCTGTCACATTCCACCATGAGAGCTGCAACACAATAACAAATTTCTTTGAGTAAAAGAGGTCAGTACTTGGATGCAGCCCTACCTGACAAAATCCACCATGGGAGCAAAGGATACTTCGCATCCTCTGGGCTTAACTGTGTTTCACACAAATCAGCTTTGATCGAGGGCTGCAGCTGCTTCCAGACATAAATGTAATTGGGCTCTAGCAAAATACTAGGTTGTAGCACGTGTTAGTTCAAAGGGAGAGTGCAGGGAACATGGCAATATCTCTTCTGAGCCGACAGACAGGAAGCTCTGCCCTGCACTCGCTGTGTGTCCTCCCAGGGCACAGAGGGGTGATGGCTCATCTCTGCCTTGCACTCCTAGCAGCTGCAGACAGGCTCTGACAGGCCCCAGGCAGTGCTTGTACAGCCAGATCCACACTCAGGGAGTGTTTGTCAGTTGAGGCTCAGTCAAATCACAATTCAGCTTTTGTTCTCCCATAAGGCTATATCCAGATCATACTATAGTTTTCTTTTCCTCTGTACTATGCTCCAGAAGGGGAAGAGCCAACAGTGACATTCTTTATTGCCTTAGCTTTATAACAGCTATGGAAATTTCTTTAATACTCATAAATAAGGTAAAAAAATGAGGTATGATTTTATTTTTAAATGGAGCCCTAGAAAGGCAGCTCACAGCCTCCAGGTGGCAAGTCTCAGAAACATCCACCGTGTCATGCAAACAGTTCCCTCTCGTCTTTGCTTTCTCCTGCCATAATGCAAATCCCTTAGAAGATGGAAAGGTGTAATCAAAGCAGTTGGTGGGGAAGTCAGGAAGGAAAGTGTTAAATGCTGAGGGTAAACATCTCCTGATTTGTTACCTAGTCAGCAGGGCAGAGAAGATCTCACAGATAAACCCAGCCTCGAAGCTTCTCCCCAGCTCAACTGGTTATTGCTCAGCAGCAGCTCTTACTCATCTGAATCTAGGTGGAGCTCCTTCCCTCCCTCCCTCCCTCTCTGCTGTGTCTGTCCTGGCTGAAAAGCTTTTCCCCAATATCTGCACAGGCGTTCTCAGGTGCCGGCAGCGCCTTTCCAGGATCTCAGCAGAGGCAGCCATCGCTCCCAGCCTGAGGCAGAGAGGCCTTGTCCTGCCAGCAGCTGCCCCCAGCCATGGTGAAGTACGGCCTGGACTACACGCGCTGCAGATGGATCCTGCCCCTGCTCCTGGGCATCGGGGTCATCTTCGGCATCATCGCGCTGGCGGGCTGGGGCTGGCTGGAGTCGCAGACCTTGCCCTACGTGCTGCAAGCGTCGCTCTGGCAGATCTGCAGGAGGGGTGACCAGGGTGGGCAATGGAACTGCGAGTCCCTCATGGGCTACGGTAAGCGCCGACAGGGGTGGCGGGAGCAGGCTCTGAAGCAGAGGGTCACATCCCCGAGGTCACCTTCCCGCAGGTCTCCTAAATGTATCACCCAATTTATATATGAAGCCACGGGCAATAGGGACTGTCACTGAGTACACCGAGGCTTTTGACTAAGCGGGTGAAGAAATAAAATGCCCTCACACCCCTGTGCAGAAAAGAACCTAGAGGATTACCTAATTCATAAAACCCCACACATGGTACGGTACCTGTGCAAAAAATAATACAGGAATACAGGATTTTTTTTGTCTCTCAGAAGAACCTGGTAACCCCTTCTCACTAATCACTGCTTCTCAAAACTTAACGGCTACTGGTGATCAAACATCCAAACAACAAGTTGTGTGGGGAAGACTGGCATTAGTGTGACAAGCAGGTTTGAGTGCCAGAAACAGGGAGGTAAAAATGTAAGATGGCAGTAAGATATTCCCAGGGAGTGTCAGGCTGCAGAATGCTGCTCTGAAACTGCTCCGGTAGGTGGGTTGTGTGAAAGAGACTCCTTGTGATTATGAAAGAAAGTTTTAAAAGATGAAAGGATTTCTTGTTCGTACTAAGTTTTGGTGAAGCATGCTATTAAACATGTTGACCTGGGTGCAATCTTCAGCTTGAAAAGATGTAAACCACAAGTGTGGGAGAATAGCCCAAGAGAAGGGTCATTCTCTATGTGCTCTGTTTCCTTTTTATATTTCCTTTTTTTCTTTCTGTATATTTTCTATTGGCCATGGTTTGAAACAAGTAATAGTGAATGAAAGGCTGTTAGCTTGAACTGGAATGGAAGTTGAAGAGTTCTTAAAATTTATGCTCATTCAAATTACAAGGAAGAACCTTTTCTCTAGGGCTCAGAATTTCAGCCCTTCTTGTTAAAAATAAGAGTAAAAGCACTTGCTTAAGCAATCTCAGGGATCATTTATTACAGCACTTCAAAATTGTTCCTGAAGGTTTATTGTATGTCATGAAACTCTACCTTCTATGCACAAAATTCAGCTGTAATGAGTTAATTGCAGCAGGCCTCTGTGAGTGTAGGGCTCCAGGCATGACCAGCTCCACTGAGCATCACCATCCAGCCCTGCTCTCAGGGCTCCAGCATCAGCTCTGTGGCTGGGTGTAAATCAAGCCAGCAAATGGTCCTCTGCCACATGGCATGTGAGAGGAGAAAGAACATGATGCTTAGTAGAGGGCTTCTCAGTCCTGAGTTTCCTCCTAGTTTCCTGAAAAGCAAGCCCTCCTCTTGATCTCCAAGTTAGGCCCTGGAGAATGCTATGAATGCCAGCTTTAACTGGACAGGAAACACCGAGATGTTTCACCTTGCTTCTCTTGATAACACAAGAGAAATTCCTCCTTACTTCTGGGACCTAGATTTGGTATTTGGCATTTCATTTCCTTATCCTGCTTCACTCTGATAGCTTTAAATTCTGCAGCTGCATGCACAGTTTCCCTGGAAACTGGATAGCATCTACAGACAAATCAGGGAGGTCAACCTCTGTGAGGACTGTCCTGCAATGTCTGGGGTTACCATGAATCACATCCACAATAAGTCCAGCACTTTTTACAGTAACATTGTGGACTTGGTACACACATGCAGGACACAATCCAGTAGGTACATTGGAGAGTCCATTGACTATTCTGAAAGCATTAGAAATGCTGTTTGTGAGCTGCATGACTGCATTATGCCCTCAATAGGCATGCATCTATCACTTGAACTGTTCAAGGTGATTAAATACCCAGGAAGCCCAAGCAAATCCTCAAAGTCCTCCTGGACAAAATTTCCTGGATATGTCTGGCACAATGGAGTCACCTAGCCAGTGGGAGAATATGTGAAGGCTGTATGTAAACAAGGTATGCAAAGGCCAGGTAAGAGAGGGTTATGCTGCCAGGCTTCTGCCTTTGCCAGATTATGCCATTAAAATGCAGACCTTGCCCTTCAGGAGGTGAGTTATCCCTGACCAAGAAGTAGACCTGACTGTTAAGGCTGCAAAATCATGTCACTGTCCTGATCTCTTCCAGGCCTTTCCCTTAGACCCCTTCTTGACAGAGGTGGGGTGTGCTCAGATCCAATCCTGTTCTCCATTTTTCCATGCTCAGTGATGCAGGGTTGGGAAGTTTCTTTTGTGACTCCCACCTTTTCTCATGCAGGGCAGAGGTGGCTGATGCTGGTCTTGGATTCCACTCAAAAGGCCAGGCCATGAGAATATCTCATTTGTGAGCATCCAGGTCTTCTTGTGTTGAGCCTGATTGTACCTGCCTTAGTGATGAAATAGAGGCTTTTAGCAATTCTGGGATTAAATTTATCTACTGTGCTCCAGAAAGGTCATGGAAAACAAGCATTCAGCATCATGTTCTGTGGGATGTTTAACTTTGTGCCAAGCTAAACACAGTGCTGGTTAAACAAAGTGTAATTACACGCCTTCCTGAGCACAGAGACAAAGATGTGATGTAAACGTAAAGGACAGAAATGTTTTACAGCATTCCTGAGATGAGATCTCTTTTCCCCCCTCTGTTCCACAGTTTCCATCTTGTTTCTTCTGACCTTTTCTCTCAGCTTCCCTGCCTAATCTGCCACTGGCTGGGTAGGTTCTGAAATTTGGCCCTCCTGCAGAGGTGGTTTCACTGATAAACATTATATGTATGTGTACCCAGCAGCTGCCAGCAAATATTGTCAACATGACTTGGACAGTGTAGTTATCTTAATCCACTACAGTCATCTTCATCCTATCATAATTAGATGTAATTGCAACATCCTTGCAAGTCGTTAATTATAATGTGCAAATTCAAATCAAATTCTGCATGTGCAATGTTTATAATTCCCCTTGAATCTCAGTTGTTTGGCTCAAGATGTGTTTATACAGTTGAAAGGCAAAAACCCAATGTCACTGAGGTTGATTATATTGGAAGGGAAGAAAGTTGACTATTTCATTGGCTGCATCAGTGCAATTCAGAGGTTTTGATTTATTTTTCTTTTCCTTTTTTCTTGAAAAGGCAGTGGAGTAACTCCACTGGTACACTTACCTTTTGTGAAAGAATCTGCTAACCCGTGCTCTTTTGCAAAGTTTATGAGCTCTGTGGAAAGTGAGAATATGAAGAGTTTATACACTCTGTTATCTTCTCCAAGACTTCAGGTCATCTGCTTTAAACATATGACACTCATGTAGACTTTATCAAAGACTGTTGCTTTTCAAGCACATTTAGTTCAAATAAATAGAACTTTCTAGGAGAAAATATCCAGTGCATTAGACACTCACTCAAAATGCAGGACATTTAGGATGAGGGACTGAGAAGTTCATTGCTCTTGTGCTTCATTGTTCTTGCACTTGAAAAAACAAAGGGCTCAATCTGATGACATGCTTGAACACATACAAAGAGAGATTAAGACTTTTTAGATAGATAATGAGCAATATGGAATGTACCTCTGTGGACGTGGATGAGCTTACAAAGAAAATGCACAGGTTAAATCCCATCATGATGCTGGCACAGCACTCCTTTGTTTTTCTTGTTCTTTGGCTGTATTACCTGTCTTGAACAAGGTGTGTCTTGCAGACCTGAGACATTTCTTCAGTATGTAATTTATTCCACTGTAGGCTTTGAAGATGTTTAAACATGTGTAGCTAAATACATAATAAATAATGTGGGGAGAAATAACTGATTTTATTCATCTGAATGTGATGCACAAAGGGTGAAAAACTTGTGACTACACTAGTCCCTTCTTATCTTCCATCCAGCCTTGCAGTTCTTCCAGTTGCAGATGCTGCCATCAGAACAACTGAAATTTTAAAGTGTGTGTTGATGAGGTCATCTTATTTGCATAGTGCAAACAGAGATCTTGGGGAAAAAATCAGGAAAAGGCATTTCCATATGGCAAGTGAAATTCACATCTTCAGTTATTTTCACATTGTAATATTCTATTATAGATTTCTCCTAGGATGCATGGAGGGGTTTGTAGCTGTGGAGATTAGTGGAGGGATGAATGCTTTTGCCATCTGGAAGGGACCTCTTTGTGCAGCTTCTTGTCTTCCAGGCAAATAATGGGCAACTAGATATACAGTTTTATTTTGGTCTATGAGTATGAATGCAATATTACAAGATAAGAAGGCTAGTATAGTATGATTATAATGAACAAAATCTACTTCAAATATGACAGCAGATAAGTATGGCTACAGGATAAGTGAAAGAAGGAAGTGTTGCAAAAGTAATATCCTTTTGAGAAAAGAAATATTCTGCATCCCCATTGATGAGTAGATTTTTTCCCCCCACTTTTCTTGTACCAAGCTTTGTTTCCACGGAATCTTTCGCTACAGTGAAACACCATTTATTATCCTGGAGGAAGAACACAATGGAAATCACTTACTAAAAATATGCAAGTAGTGATACAACAGCAAGGTTACATGGTGTAGCTGGGATCAGTTTCCAAAGTCTCTCTCTTGGTACTACACCTAGCAGTGCCTTTGCACTGCTGGTCACACAGCTCTCCCTCTGGAAAATGACCTTCTCCATCAGAGCAGTGGCTCATTACACCCGGGGCACAGGACAGACCAGGCACCAAGTTTTGCCACTGCCACACTACCTGCGTAAAACTTTTTCCTTCCCCCACATTCCCATCACATCTGACAGCCAGCACCTAATCCCAGCATGGGGAAATTCTTACTTGCCCCAAGATAAAGCAAGCAGCCTAAGCAGAGTGACATGGGGATATTTTCAGAGAGACAAGATGGGATATAGCAGATGGAGGACATACAAGATGTCCCAGTGTCTCTCTGGCATCTGGTGGCGTCTGTACATCAAAAAAGAAATGAAGTAAACAAGTAGCTGTGCTTTTGAAGTAGGGACCAGCTCAAGTCACCAGGCCTTTATTGCAGATTTTTCCTGAAGTCAAGGTTCTGCACTTAACAGCTTTCAGAATTTGGTAACATCCATGTAGTTTTGCAAAAGTGTCTTTGCAGCTGGGAAAGAGGCTGGGGAGGTTTCTGAGC